ATGCTAATACTTTATTAAGATTTTGAAATTACATTTGCAATTATATAAATATTCTTAACAACTAAGTTTAGCATCACTTAGCCATCTTAATAATACCTAAATGCAACCTGCTGTATTATTTTAAACAGAGTAAGCTACTTGTCTAATTACTTAAAGTTTATAATAAAAGTGTTTTTTCTCTTCTGTGATAAGTTTCAAAATTGTTTTTTGTGTTTCTGTTCTGATTTGTTCTTTTTTTCTCTTATTTTCTCTTTCTTTTCCTCTATTTTTTGCTAATTTGTCTTTTTTTTACTTAATCTTAGCTTTTTTTTTTTTTTCTCTTTTTAACCTATCTGTTATTTCTACTTTTCTCTCTCATTTACTAATCTTCTTACATCAGATTCTCAATACTTGTTCATAGAATGTATTCTAGGCTGTACTTGATATTACACTTGTAAACTGCTGTTTTGACTTTATGTTTAGGAGTTTCTGTAATCAATTTTGTGTTTCTTTTAAAATCAGACCTTTAATTAGTACCTCTCTCATTCTTACTTTTTCTACTTCTATTTTATCAAAAAGCATTGTATATAACATATATGAGAGAATTCAGACTTTTTTCTTTTCTTTAAGTTTCTTTTAGGCTGTTGTAATAGTCACTTTTTGGATTCTTTTCTATAAGTTTTTTTGTTCTTTATATGCTGCTAAATATATCTATATTTTTTTGACTTTATTTTTATATATTTGGCATTCTGTTGTTATATACACATCTGTTCTTTTTTGTTAAATTCTTTTAGAGTTAGAAGTTTGTTTATTATATATTTTATAAATGCACTTTTTTTGGTACTAATTCTTCTTATTATATAGTGTATTCTTTTTTTTATTTTTAGTCTTTTTCAAAAATATGTCTAATATAAATTGTAATTTTTGATTCTGATTCTAATTCTTTAATTGCATTTGTTTTTTTCTATTTTGCTTCTAATTTTGCATTTATTATTAACTTATATAACAATCTTGTTAGTATGTCAGTTTATTTGTTTTCCCACTCTAAGCAGTACTTTATAGCTTTACAACTAACTTTTTTAATCTGTATTATCTTCTTGCTTGTTGCTTCTTTCTTTGCCAGGCTATTAGCTTTGTCATTTTATTTATTTTTACTATAACTCTTTACTTTAATTAACTCTATTTAAATATTTTTTGTTGTAATAAGGTCTCTAATCTTTATTATTCATATTGCATTTTTCTTTTTAAAGATCTTGTTTTTATCTGTTTGTTCTAAACCTTTGTTAATGTTTTTTATTGCTGCATTACTATCTGTATATATTTTTACTTGTTTTTTCTTTAGTATTATTAATATTGCTACCTATATTGCTACTAGCTCTGCTATTATTGATGTTTGTTATCCTTCTAGGCCTAGTGCTATTTTATATTTTGGCCATTCTTGTGTTTCATTCATTTGAACACATTCTATACTATTTTATTTTCAGTTGCTATATCTTCTTTGGCCTTTCTGTTTGCTGTGCTATTTGTATATATTATATACTTGTTTTTGTCTCTTATTATGTTTCTTTTTAAGACTTTTATTATTTCTTGATTAATGTTTTTGTTTAGCCTTTGCTGTCTAATAATTTCTACTTCTAACTTCTCTATTGTTCTAATGCTTTCAAGTTTTTGTTTTTCAGCTTCTGGTCTTTTCCTCTTTACTGTTTCTGTTATTTAATCTATTGTTATATTAATTTTATTATTGCCTTTTTTATTAACACATCTGGAACCATGTTAATTAGGGGTCTGCAAATGCCCATGCCAGGCATATAGACATCATGCCAGGCACTTATGCTCATGCCATGTCAATGCCTATAGGCATAAAAATGCCAGGCACTACTGTAGGCATGGGAGCTTATGCTAGGTACTATTAAAGACATAGGCACAAAATGCCAGGCACTACTAAGGCATGGGCACAAAATGCTAGGCACTACTAAGGCATGGGCATGAAGTACCAGACACAAATGCGGCACAAGTTAGGCACAAAGTGTTTAGCACAAGTGCCTAGTACAATACCTAGCACTATTAAAGATTTCCAGATTAACCTACTAATAGAAATGGTATTGGCTTAAAATAAGCCAGCTTAGCTACCACTACGGCTTTTTAGTCAAGCTGACAAAACCAGCTGAGCCAGCTCAAGTCGTATCATGTGACATGCTGTAGCATAGTAGGCTTTCTCCATGATTGAATAATAGACTAGATTTACCAATAAAATTTTTACTGTATCATAAGATGATATACACAAATTGGCCAATCACAATGGAAGCCTGCTATGCTACATGCAATAGAATTTATGCCTTTTAAAGGTTTAATCCCTATTTCTTCATAATGTTCTGGAGATGTTAGGAATAATTCTACAGATTCTTTGATTCCTTGAATTTGTTGTTCTAAATCACCAATATCTGTATATGATTCTGTAGGTGCTTTCTCAAGTTTTATAATACTAACCATTGGATCAGTATCATCTTGAAGTACACCAACAACTGACATAGTCTATTAGATTTATATAAGTGTATGAGAGTAAAAACCTGGAAACCGATTTAATGATTTACTATAATCGGTTTACAGGTTTTCACTCTTGACATCTCCTCTAGAATCAAACCCGTCTAACTGATTCAAAAGTTCTAACATAGTTTTTTAAATTTCTCTTTCATCAACTGAATTGGAATCATATTTATAATTAAATGGAATCAATTTAAAATAATAAAATAATATATACCATTTAGTTTCAATAGCATCAATTTTATCAATAAATACAATAGAAGGCGCATGTTCTTCAGCAACACAAAATAATTCGTGTACAAGTTTTGGATCATCGCCAAGATATCTTTGGATCAATTTTGAATCCATAACACACAAAAAAGTTGCAGACATTTGATTCACTACCATTTTAGCAAAAGTGTTTTACCTGCATATACAGAGATATTTACTATTGATCTTTAGATACCTTGTTGATAGAAATGTTGAATTTACCTATTCTCAGGACCCCATATAGAATAATGCAGATTTCACTTATTGGAGTCAGTCTGGTTTAAACCAGCTCACTTGAACTGGTTGGCTTAAGTCAGCTTAATCTAGCTGGCTTAAGTCAGCTAGCTTGGCTTTTTTTGAACTGAGCCAGTCAGATTAAGCCGATCCTATCCCTACTCACTTTATTGACAACTTAGTTCATGTGTGCTTAAAATAAATAGTCAAGTTAAATAATAAGGTTAAGTGATCATATTAGATAAATGATCGAAATAAGTGATTATGTTAAGGCACTCTCAAGTATTTTTCTTAATAAACCCAACAAAAGTCTGTGTAATCAGATGGCAAAATCCTTTGTTGAATATATTGGAGAAATACTTGAGAGTGCCTTAGTTAAATTATCAACTAAATGCTAAATAAAATAAGTAATCAAATAAAACACCAAATAAGTGATTGATTTAAATGCTAAATAAAATAAATAATCATGTTAAATGCCAAATAAGAGAAGTGATCAGTTAAGCGCCAAGTAAGATAAGTGATTGAGCTAAATTTCAAATAAGTATCATATTAAATGAGTATTCAAGCTAAAGCTAAATAAGCAAATTATATTAAAGATGTGATTAAGCTTATTAAATAAATATATAGGTATTAGATAAGTGATTGTATTAAAATACTAAATAGATGTTGGGTGTGCAATCGAGTTAAATGATCAATAAATAATAAATTTGAGTTAAATAAATGATATAACCGATCATATTAGGACATTCTTAATACATTTCAAATAGACTCAACAAAGGCTTTTTGTTAAATCACTAAGAAAGATACTTGAGAATGCCCTTAAATAAGTTATCGAATTAAATTTTAAACAAATGATTCAAATAATTGTATTTGATTAGTATTTGAGCCAAAATTACGCAAGTAATCATGTTATATGCTAATAAACAATTGAATTAGAGGTAAAATAAAAAATAAAGAGAAAATAAAAAAAGTATAAATAGTATAACAATTCTTTGCATATATCTTATGTCTTATATTGGTTTTTCTTTCTCTTACATTGTAATGCTTCATCAATATTGCTTTATCTACTTTCACACTTTTTAAATCGTTTTTTATCTTCTTTCTTTATATTTTGTTTTTGCTTTTACTTACCTTATATTTCTTTTCATCTTTTTTCTTAGATTGGTTTTCCTTTATATTTCTTTTTTTTTTTCTTTTTACCTTATATCGTTTTTCTCTTTATCTTATTTACTTTTTTTGAATTTTTGCTTTAATTTATAGCTGATAATGGAAAATTTGATGACATCTTCTGCTGATATTATTTCAAGTAGCTTGACAACATCTTCTGCTGATACTATTTCAAGTAGCTCAACACTAGGTGAAATTGAAACACACATAGTTGATAATATGTATTGCACTAAAGACCACTGGATAGAAATAATAAATAATGGTAAAAGATCTTGGAAATGTCTGCATTGCCAAAACTGGATGTATTCAATAAATACTAACAGAACATATTTGAAAAACATACTTTAAAATGCCCTAATACTCCACTGTTCAAGACTCAAAACAATGTATTCCAACAAATTACAAAGGATGGAATAGACAAATCAATAATTAATTTGGTTATTGGAACAGAGATATCTTTCAGTATTCTTGACAACCTGTTGTTCTATAAGATAGCTAGGAATCTCTGTTATATTACAAATTCATACAAAGTCCTACATTCAACCACAATATCATGACATCTATCTGGCAATATATTTAATTCAAGATTCGATTTTATTAAGAATATACTTGCCAAGTCTTCTGAGTGAATTTTGCTAACATGTGACAGGTGGCACTCAACTATTCATAAGTGTCATTATATTGTTATTATGAAATCATGAATTAGTGAAAATTGGAGGATCACCAACATAACATTAAGTTTTCAAAAATTGGGACAAACAGCAGAAGAAATAGTATTAGCAATAATAAACACTTTAGAAAAGTATTATATTAAGGACAAAGTGTTCACACTTACTATAGACAACACCATTACAAATAAAGCCATTAACTGGTTGCTCCAAAATAAGTTGCAGAATACAGAGATAATAACAATAGGTTTAATTTTTTTTTAGTTTTAATTATTATTAATTTTTTTTTTAATTATTATTGTTATTTTAGTTTTTAATTATTATTTTTTTTAAACTTTTTTTTTTTAGAATGCATGTGCCACATTCTCAATCTAATCATTAAAGAGGGCTTAAAAAAAATATGTTCATTACAAAAAAATATTCATAAAATCATGAAATACTTATCTAATCTCTTAGCTAGTGGTAGACTAGAAGTATTGAAATCGTATTGTCAAATTTCTAAAATAAAGTTTTTACAGCCTATTCTTGAAATAGAAACTCATTAGAACTCTATGTTAGCTATGTTTGAGAGATATCTTCATCTACATCTAGCAATTCATGAGATTTGTTCTAAAGAACCATTAATGCCCCTTTGCTTAGATAATGAAGGTTTTATAAATCTTGAATCCTTCTGTCAACTTCTTAAGCCATTCGCAAGTGGCACACTAGTTCTTTCTAAAGAGAATTCAAATTCAATTTCTGATGCAATAATGGTTATACTAGAGATTGATCAGCATATCAATAAAGTTAGGATAAGTCATTATATAAAGAGAAAATTTGAAAAATATTGGAATGTAATTGTTGACCATGTCATAATTGCACACATACTTGATCCAAGATATAAGTTGAAGCACTTAAAAGCAACTTTAATTGAAGTTGGCAACTATAGTAAAAATAATACAGAAGTGTTTGTTAATAATATTTGGCAAAAAATTATTTTATATGGAATGAAATATGCAAGCACAGAAACTTCAACTGTTGAAACGGTTGAAAAGATTGAAATTGTTGAAAGTAATGATAATTATATGTCTGATTTTTTAATTCCTAGGAGAAAAATTTCAAAAAAATGAAAACACACAAACATAATCGAATCAGAGTTAGAATTATATGAAAGTGAGCCTCTTGAAAATTTAACATTGATAATAAAAAAAAAAAAAATAATAGAATACTATTTTGGGAATCATTATTAAAAAGATTCCCAATACTTAGTAAAATAGCATGAGATTACCTAAGCATCAAGCCTTCAAGTGTTTCTAGTAAGAGGGCATTCTCAAGAGCTGGTTTTACTATCACTAATGATAGAGCAAATCTTAATGAACAAACAGTTTCTAGCACTATACTCATGCATTCATGGCTAATAGAAAGCCAAAATGAGTTTAGTCCCCTTAAAATGCTTTTATAAGTAAATAACTTTTTTTTTAATTAACTTATATATTCTCGATGAGTATTAATTAATCTATATATATACATACAAAAGAATGTTGCATGATTCTATATACTACAGTATCATTATATCATGTGATTAAAACATTCACTATCTAAATAACCAGTGTTGCTTTTTTGGGTCCAGTACTTATTTTTTTACAAAAAAACATTTATTATTATTAATTTAATTAACAATTCACAAAAGTAGGAAAATTTGTATTAACAAAATCTATAACAATACATATAAAATATAGAATCAACCTTTCTTATTATGGGCCTTTTCAAAGTGAATTTACTAGTAAATTTGTAGATACGAATTTTGTATTATAGTGTATTATATTAACCTATATATGTACTAACTTGAAAGTAAAATAAAAAATATATTATGAGAGCTTCTAAATTTATTCTATTGCATAATATATTTTTTATTTTACTTCCAAGTTAGTGCACATGCATAGGTTAATACAATAGATTATAATACAAAATTCATATCTACAAATTTACTAGTAAATTCACTTTGAAAAGGCTCTATATAAAGTCAATTTTTTATTAAGATAACATCTTATGGGCAAATAATGAATGTTGTAGAACTAATTTTGTGATTCTGATGATAGTAAGAGTAGTAAAATTAGTTGAATAAATAAAAAGTTGTAAATAATTTAAATTTAAAAATTTTTATAAAACTATAGGAATCACGATTCATGTATTAATATAGGTTAATCTATTTTATTATAAAAATCTTCTGTTAATATTTTCCTACTATTGTGAATTGTCAATTAAGTTATTAAAATTTGGATGTTATCTAAAGAGTAATAAAAAAAATAAGTCAATATTTTAGGAAAATCTAAGGTAATTATAACTTGAATTGTACTATAGTAATTTAAATAATTAGAGATTTATTTTTATAATATATTTCAAGAAGTGCTATCTATTAAGGATTAAAAGACAATTTTTATGCATGGTTGAAATATCGCAAGGCGGATCTTTATATTGCATAGGCCAAATTCAACTAAGTCTAACGATCTTCCACTTGAAGCTTTCATTTATTGATATCTCATAATTCTGTTACATTACCTTCTATCAGAAGGAGTTCTATTAAATCTATTTCTTCGACTACCTTAAACTTATCTGATATCAGTGAGATCAAAAAATTTTGATTATAAAATGAAAAAGGCAATATTATTTTCAAAACAGTGATCTTTAGGTAAAAGAAAATTAAATGTATATATGTTTGTCCATAGTGATGATTTACTTATTCATGTATTTAAGCCACATATACCAAGAACTGTTTCTAACTTCCTGTTGAAAAGACTGCAAGATGATGTTCAAAAAAAGAAGGTAAGTCTAAAGGAAAAATTGTTATAGTCTTTGAGTATTATTCAAGAATTAAGCCAATGTGTAAATAATACCCAGTTCTTAATAAAGGGATGCCATTTTTATGAGGCACTTCATGCAGTGTTAATCGATATTAATAAATGACATACACCAATTAATCTATCGAGGAATAGCTTACTTTATTATAGATAATATAAAAAGCATTTATTAGTCTAAACAGACTGCTATAATTAGGCCAAATAATGCAATTAAAAACATCATGGAGAAACTTGCTATGTGATGAAAACTTATAAAGAATTTCTTACAGAATTGAATAAATTATTAAAAATTTAATCCAAATAACATATGGGTAACAGAAGTAGCTACTTTATATATCTAAAATAGCTATCTTAAATATTGAACATAGATCATTTAAATAAATGGCTACTTTAGATATCTAGAGTAACCACTCATCTGAAAATAGCTACTCTTGATATCTAAGTATCTACTTTAAATATTTAAAGTAGCTATATTAGTTATCTAAACTAACTACTTTAAATAAGTAGCTACTCCAGATGCAACAATAATATTTCATTATTTAATCTGTTTATTTATCAGGTCATGATAATTGATTATTTATAATTATTTTTTAATATTATGTGCAGTGAATACTTAACACTTTGTCAATCTGGACTTTGTTTTCAGGTTATTCTAAGGCTTTCTACTTGGAGCTATTAGACGTATCTGATAATATTAATAAAGATAACTTAAGTTTTGAGTATTTATTTATTTCTTTCAATTCCAAATGAAGATCATACTAATTCAAATTCCTTTTTTTAAATGTTTCACAAGCTTACCTTTAAATATATATATGCACTAGTCAGACTGTTCCTTATGCCACTCATTACAATTTTAATTATCTTTTTGGTCAGTTTAATTCGTAAAATTCTTTCTTGCTAATTGTTAATTTAATTTATTTCTTTTTCTTTTATAGAGCTCAATAAGCCTTGGTGTTCTGCTAATATTTGATGTTTCTTGTTCTTATGTTGCATCTGTTAATATACAAAACATATTCTTTCTTTAACATTCTTAAGTATAAGTCAAATGTTAGTTGGTAAGAAATATGTTATTTAATTTAAGCTACTAGTTCACATTACGCTATTCCTATTTAATTTCATTTAGTTTGTATCAAATATTCAAGCAAAATATTAAAGAAGTTATACCCATATATATTAACCAGATTATGAATATTGCAACTTGGATAACTGGATCAATATTCACTAAAATAATGTAAAATAAATGATATTTATAGTTCAAATATACAGTATCTGGTTTAAATCAATAATCTGAATATTTAAAATAAACTATTTATTATTGAGTTTTATTGAGTTTATTTTAGATCATGAGTATATAGTAAAAACATTCATTGGTTTAAAAAATAGGCTATAAATTTTTGCTATATAATTTTATTTTATTAGAAATAATTTGTATATAATTGTAGAGAACATGTATTAATTTATTTTCTCTTTAATTTTTATTTTATTTATGTTATAGCTGTTTACATAAATTTTGGGACATCTGGTAAAAAATTAACCAAATAATTATTTGGTCAATTCAATAAGTTTGTGATTTCAGTAATAAAATATTACACAATAATGCGTATATTTTTGTTACAGCTGTTTTCATAATTCTGGTTTTCTGATGACCAAATCGATAAGTTACTAAGCCAAAATCAATAAGTCACTGATATTAGCTAATATCAAAAACTTATCGATTCATTCATAGGCAATTTTTCATGTGTCCCAAAATTTATAGCTGTTATCATTATTCCTGGGACACTTTGTGAAAAATTACAGCTGTTTTTATAAAAATTTGGCAAAAATGAACTGACTGAATATTCGCTAATTTAATAAGCTTTTAATAAACTCTTGATTCGAATGTAATCACATCCAAATCAAAAGTTTATCAAAACTTATCAAATCAGTGAATATTTGGTTAGTTTATTTTTGCCAGATTTATGAAAACAGCTGTAACTGAGTGATTATTCTTCTGATTATCATTAACTATAACATGTAGTATGTTAGAATATTTAATATTTTGACTGATTCATGTAATGGCAATATGAATTTTTTTTTTTTTTTTTTTTTTACTAATCTAACTCAAACTGTGTTTAGGTATTTGATTAATGACATTTATAATCAAATGAGATCTTTGCCTTGAAAATGACCTTACAGGACATAGTAAATCATATGATCTAAACTTGATTTTCAAGGCAAAGACCTCAAATAAGTTATTATTTATTAATGACTTATTGGCTACTAGGCTATTTTGATGTGTGTAAACAATTTGTATTGATTTTATGATGTGAATGCGCCACTTCATGCCAAAGTGTAGCATTGTATTTATGTATATAGAGTGGTTTGTTGTAGCAATAAGCGAAGCAAATTAATTTAAAAATTAAAGCGAAAATACTTTTTTTTACTAATTTATAATTAGGCCATGCAAACTTAATCAATCAGTTTTCATAACCCAGCCGGGTCAAAATTTACAAAACTCTAAAAAAAATTTTTAAGTATACTTACTATCCAGATGAGTTTTTTTAAAAAATCCAAAAAATTTTATACGTTTTTTATATATATAATTTTTTGAAAATAAAATTAAAAGCCAGGTTGTCAGATTATTTTCAAAAATTTTATGTTATGAGAACCAATTTATTAAGTTTTGTATGACCTTACTAATAATTGGTCATTATATTTCTTATGCGCAGTTATCAATACTTATATTTCTTATGTTAAATGACAATCATGCCTTAAGCTTAAATCATAATTATTTTGTATCCTTATATGTAATATTTTTCATAATTATTTAAATTTACATTTTCCAGGCCTTGATTGTAAATTAATCACAAGCTCAAATAATGTTATAATAATCTTATAATTATATAATTTATCCAGATTGATATCAAGGATTTTAGGTTTAAGTTTGTAATTTGGGTTACCCAGATTAATTTGATTCTTTTGGAACACTACCTATATATTTTCAAAAAATCTGTTCCTAGTTTTGTGATAACATTGCATAGCTATCTAGTAAGAGAAGTAATATTTCTGTTACTTTTTGCATAACCTTGGATCAGATAGGGATTGTTACTTCAATTTGGGCAACTGTGATCCCAAAAATCAGGCTCATAGTATCAAATCATTATGTTTATATCATGCCTGTGCTCATGCCTATGCCTATGCTCATACTTGTGCCCATGCCCATGCCTGTGCCCATGTTCATGTCTGTGCCCATGCTCATGCCCATGCCCATGCTTATGCCCATACCCATGCCT